CATGTGGGTGTTGGGAATTCCCAGGTCCTTTGGAAAAGCAGTCAGTGCTCTTAACCACTGAGCCATCTCTCCAGTCCAGATTACAGATTTTTAAGAGATGGAGAGAGAGAACAAGAACACACAAGGACTGCGTTCTAACGCACCCCAACATGTGAATGCTAAGGAATTAAGGTGGGAGCAAAACCCACTAGAATGAATAGTCAGGAGACAAAGGTGAGACAGCCTGAAGGCCAAATAAAGGATGTTCCAGGGAAGGGTAATGGCTGACCAGGTCAGTTCTATATGCATTACTTAATGATCACATAACAGTTTAATACAAATTTATCAGTCCTGGAATAATTTTAATATTTTAGGATCTTTACACAATAACAGATGTTAGGTAAAAATGTATTATCTGGTTTTAGAATATATCAAATACTTTTGTTGGCTGTCATATAAAGATACATACATATGGACTTGCATTTTATCTAGGTCATTTTAAACATATACTTATTTTGTATGTATATTTTATATACCACAGAATGCATGTGGAGGTCAGAGGACCATGTGCAGGAGTTGGCGCTCTCCCTATGTGGGTCCCAGGGATTAGTCTCAGGACAGACTTGGCTGTAAGGCCCTTTACCTGCTAACCCATTTCAAGAGCACTTAATCTAGAATACTCCCTAAACTATTGGTCTAAAGGTTATTAAGAGATGTGTGAACAAAAAGAACATTTTAGCTACACTCATTTGGACAGAGTAGTTATGTTATCATACTTTTTCAAAAAAGAAAAACCAAATGCAATGTTTTGCAAGGTTGCATCACTACAGAGCCCGTCTAGGTTAGCTGGATACTCGGAGTTAATACCATTGGAAAATACTAAGTTAAGAGATTTGGAATATTTTTGTCCTTACTATAAGTCAGAACTTATGTCAGCAAACCCGTGGTGGGTATTTTCTTTCTGCCACGTCAACACTTTCACTGGAAATAAGATCCGCTTCTACATTACGTCTGCTAGAATATATGATATTCTTAGTGTTATTTTTATACTGATGCATCTGCCCGTCCTCAGGTTTACTTATTAGTCATCAAATGTCAAAATGAAAATGCTTCATCCCTTGAAATCAAAACTGAATACAAAGCTGTCAAACAGCAGGATAGTCTCAACTAACACTTTCTAAAGGAGTTCTTACTGACTACTGGCAACAAAATGTATTGTTAATGCATTTGGCCAAGTTTCCCTATGTGTGTTGCTCATTTTAACGATGTAATAATTTTATGATGTGCACATTTATCTCTTATATCTGTTCATTCAAATGTGGAGTATAACCTTGTATTATGGACATTCCCATATTTCTTCTCTCGTTACTTTAATCCTGTTCTTAGTTCTTGTCTTAGTTAGGGTTTCTATTGCTATGAAGAGACAACATGACCATAGCAACTCTTTTTTTTTTATTGAGAATAAGAAAAAAAAAGTTTCCGCCTCCTCCCAGCCTCCCATTTCCCTCCCCCTCCCCCCACTCTTCTCCCCCTCAACTCTTATAAAGGAAAACATTGAATTGGGTTGGCTTACAGTTCAGAGAGGTTCAGTCCATTTTCATCATAGTGGGACATGGTGGTGTGTACGTAGACACGGTGCTGAGTTCTACATCTTGCATACAGGTAACAGGAGTGATCTATCTCACTAGGTGTGGCTTGAGCACGTATGAGATCTTAAAGCTCACCTCCACAGTGATACACTTTCTCCAACAAGACCACACCTACCCCAACAAAGCCACACCTCCTAATAGTGACCCTCCCTTTGGGGGGCTGTTTTCGTTCAAACCACCACAGTTCTTTTTCAATTCTGGAAAATGGTGCAGTATAGACAGCCTGACTTCAAAAGGTACTGTTGATCTCCACATCAAAGAAATGGAAGTGCAAGGTGAAAAGGAAAACATCACAACACACTGTACTATTAATTGCTACACAGCTAAAAAGCATTGTCTTGTGTCTCCAACTATCAGTTCTGCTTAGGAAATGTGGTCTGTAATCCATCTCTGTCCCTCCTGTCTCTGGCCTGTGGCTCTCCATTCTCACACTCACTGATAAAAAGGACAAAGGAAATGTACTTACCATGAACAAGAAGATGTGTGCTCTAAGTGCAATGTCTCATTGGATACACACACACACACACACACAAAATAGCACAGAATTCGATTACTGCATTAGTGAAACCTAACTGACCTCCTTACTCTGGCCCTCCTCCCCAGCGCAGTTACTAGTGTGGAAGAACCTACACACAAGGTGCCAACTGTCCTTCTCAAAAGGCAGGCAGGCACAACTTCTGGACTCTTGTCCTCCTTGTGGCTGGAACAGGAAGAGCTGGTGATTCGTGTGCTGGTTAAAATTTTTGACAAAAGACTTTCAAATATATCCAATCACCAAGTTTGCATCAACTCTACAAATATTTAGACATGATATCAGAAGCCGCTGGTTCTGGTGACAGCCAGCTCTCAGGTGCAGCAAGCTATGACAATGAACAGACCTGCAGGGATCTAACACAGGAAGCTATTTCTAGGAGAGAAATTTTAAGCACCCTCCTAGGGTAAATAGGTTTTCAGGATTCTGGACTCAAGTAGCTGTAACCTATCCTGCAGAACAAGGTTCATGATTCCAGTAGAGCCATATCTGAGCAAAATAACTTTCAATGATTCAAATGCACAACCTGCCTTTTGCCACTGTGAGGACCTTCATCAAGGCCAGCCTGCTGGGGTAGGTGTGATTAACACAAGAGTAAGCGAGCAAATGATTCGACTTATGGGGAAAAAATGGGTAAACAATGATGGGGAGAGAAGGCTTCTTTTGAGAAACTGGAGAGAGATTGGCAGTATGCATTCAATAAATAGTTAGGGTGCTTTATTAGTTACTTTCCTGTTGCTGTCACAAACCACATGACTAAAAAGCCGCTTATAAAACAAAGAGTGTATTTGGGCTGACATTTCCAGGGGGAATAAGAGTCCATCACAGTGGAGGAGCACGGCCCCAAGTGGCAGGCAAGGCAGCAGGGGAAACAAAGCTCACATCTCAACCGCTAGGCCAAAGCAGAGAGCAAACTGGAAGGAGGATGGGGCCTTAGGCTCCCAAGTGCTTCCCCCAGCGACACCCTTCTTCCAGCCAGGCTGCACCTCCTAAACAGTGCTGCCAACTGGGTACCAAGTGCTCCAATGCCTGAAACTATGGGGGATATTTCTCATCCAAACCACCAGAGACACGAAGGAAAAAAGAATGGTACAGGGGACTGGAAGATCATGTCAGCTGTTGCGTAATGAACTAAACATTTGGGGCTGAATTTTAAAGGTAATAAAACATCAAGAATTTAAATCAGGGGACCTAAAAGATTACAACTACATTTTACTCTAAATGCAGTGAGATTAGAAGAGGAAAGAGTAGGGGCTGGAGAGATGGCTCAGAGGTTAAGAGCACTGACTGATCTTCCACAGGTCCTAAGTTCAATTCCTAGCAACCACATGGTGGTTCACTGATGTGGGAGTGTCATATATCAATCTGTTGATTTCATTGGTTAAGCAATAAAGAAACTGCTTGGCTGGCCCTGATAGGTTAAAACATAGGTGGGAGGAGTAAACAGAATAGGATACTGGGAGGAAGAGGAAGTGAGCTCAGACTCTGCTCTGCTCCCAAGAGACTTGACAGCTCTGCTCCTCTCTGGAGCAGAGATGCCAGGCTCCGCTCTCCCAGGCAGCTCCAACCCAGGATGGACGTAAGCTAGAATCTTCCCAGTAAGCGCACCTTGGGGTGCTTACATGCATTATTAGAAATGGGCTAAATTATTATGTGAGAATTAGCCTAGAAGAGACTAGATAGAAATGGGCCAAGCAGTCTTTAAATGAATACAGTTTGTGTATTGTTATTTCGGGCATAAGCTAGCAGGTGGCTGGGGTGCTGGGGACACAGCCCTGCTGCTCCTATTTCAACAGTTCACAACCATCTGTAATGAGAATTGGTGCCCTCTTCTGGTCTGCAGGCATACATGCAGGCAGAACACTGTATACCTAATAATAAACCTTTAAAAAAAAAAAAGAAGAAGAGGAAAGAGTAAATATAGAAAACCAACCAAGAAGAGCAGGTGAGCACAACAGATACGGACACAGGTTAGATCTGAACGAGGGACTTTAAAGATGTTTAAAAAAAAGAAAGGACAAACGGCTAACGGCAGATTAGATTCTGAGGACTGAAGATGCAGACCAGGGATAGCCACATCCAATTCTTGTTTTGTGTGCTTTTCCTCAGGTATTTCCTGCATGCAAGGTTGTAAAACTGTGTCAGTTTCTGGTTTAGGGGAGAAGCCAAGGAACAACAAAAAGCCAACACATTCACAGCCTTTCCCATACACCTAACAGGTTCGTGAGCCCATGCAGTCTGTTCTATCTCTACCAGGCCAAGGAGCTCGGTCACGACTAGGAAACAAGTAGCTAGTATCCATATTTCACATTTCTTGACAAATAGTTACATCACTAGGATTATACACACTTATGTAATTTGTATAAGGAGAGAACCAGTACTCCGAACAGCCTTCTGGTAAATTTAAACAAGCACTCCCAAGACGTTAGAAAAGCATTTCAGTGCACTAAAGAAACGGATGCAGAGATGGTTCTGTAGGTAAATGCTTGGTGTGTTAGCATGAGAAGCCAAGTTCAGATCCCTGAAAGCTGGGTGCCGCGCACATGTGTGCATGCACACATACACACACAACACACACACATATACACACAACACACACACATATACACACACGCATACGCATGCATGCAAATACAATCAAAATAAATATAATAAAATAAAATTCTAAAAGGAGAACATTTATGAGCCGGGTGGTGGTGGCACATGCCTTTAATCCCCAGCACTCGGGAGGCAGAGGCAGACGGATCTCTGTGAGTTCGAGGCCAGCCTGGTCTACTAGAGCTAGTTCCTGGACAGGCTTCAAAGCTACAGAGAAACCCTGTCTCAAAAAAAAAAAAACAAAACAAAACAAAACAAAAAACAAAGTAGGACATTTAGCATAGTTTTTCTAGTAAGCCACAGCTGAACCAATCAGTAAGCTTTCTAAAGATGTCAGAATAACCAGGCTACATGGTCTTCTCTTTTGTATGAAACACAAAGTACTTTAATTAAACCAAATATCATAGATACTATTAATTTCTTACTCACAAGTATGAAGGGACATGAAATGAGGACTTTCCAAGCAATTGTAGCGTGCAGAAAGGCACAAGGACTAAGATTAGACTGGAAAACTGTGCCGGGAACATACAAGAAAAAAAAACGTATTTTACCTAATTACCAGATGCACACATTTCTTCATATGAAACTGAAAGCCACATTTACTCTTCCTGTGTGAGACACACTGGAAATACCCTGCTCTACAATCCCTTCCCTAAACAATTGTCGGTCAATGAACAAAGGGTCAGAAAGACGATCTGACCCTCCAGTTCTGTAGCTAGGAAGTTCTGGAAGAGGCAGTGGTGGAGGAAGCCTTTAACTGGTCCTTTCTGAAGATCAGTTTCTCAGGGTATATAATCTAATGTCCAGCGAGCACACACGCACACACACACACACACACTATGCAGCAGACTGGACCCAAGGTTTGCACGTGCTCAGCATATACCTCTCTAACCTCACATAGTTTTCTAATAGTTAATCCTCACCTTCCCATTATTGACTCGATGTTTTAATAGGCTACAACAAAAGGCCCGAAGTCAAAACGTCCATACCGAGCTCATGCTTCCCTCTAATCCAGGCTTGCGGGCACAGAACACAATACTTTCTGGGAAGTGCCATTTCTTTGGTTCTTATCTACACCAATGTAAGAAACATGAAGGGCCCTGGGCTCATGTAAAAGCCATATGTTACATTGAATCTGTAACCCTAGTTATACCGAGACTGGAAACAGGAGGATCCTGGGGGCTTTCGGGCCAGCCAGCCTAGTCCAAACTGTGAGCTCCAGGTTCAGCGAGAGATCCTGTCTGAAAAAATAAGGTGAGAAGCGATTGAGGAGCACATCCTGACATACACACACAGACGTGCACACGCTCACACGCGCGCGCATTACTTATTATTGCTAATTCAACAGGAACAGTATGTATCTATAATAAATCAGTTTACTATGCCATAGTTAAAACTTTTAGGATTTAAAAAAGGCCTTCAAAATAATCTAGTGTGCCCTCTCCCATACAATGCACCCTCCTCTACTGCAGTCCTGACATTCAGACTCAGGCTGGGTACCCTAAGCACCCGAGCTCACTGCTTCTCAAGCACAGTGCAGTCTGCCACCTGGGTCTACGTCTTCTTTCATTCAGAATTAATTCTGGATTTAAAGTGGGCAGAGAACAAATGTACTTCCTAAGTTCCTTCAGCTCTTCCAAGAGTTTTTATCTTATCGATAAAACCAACCAACCAACCAACCAAATAACCAAACAAAAAACAGTACTGGTTCCCCTATGCTACCACACCAGGGCACTCCTTTCTATAAGCAAAACAATTAAAAAATTTAAAAAGTTCTCTTAAGCTTTAAAGTGTGTCTACTAATTAAACAAGTTTTCTCTGTTTATGCTTTATAGGCTAGCAAGGTCTACTAACCATGGTCATACACAGCTGAAAGGGTACGAAAGGCGTATTGCCTACCTTAATTGATATGGAGAAGCAGTAAACTGAGCTTATTTCTCTCCCTTTTCCAAGACGACAAACAGACTCTTAAACCCCTCAACCCCGTCTACTCACTGAGCTCTCCGCCCCCCTGAGCCCAGTCCAATAATTTGTTAAAGCTGAAGCAGTGGTTCTCAACCTTCCTAACGCTGCTACCCTTTAATATGGCTTCTCATGTGGTGACCCTGACCATAGTTATTTTCATTGCTACTTCATAACTGTAGTTCTGCTACTATTATGAACTCTAATGTAAGTGGATTTTGGAGATAGAGTTTGTCAAACAGGTCTTACCCACAGGATAAGAACCACTGGCTTGAAGCCTCTATTCTCAGGATTTGTCGACTTCGGGTCACTTGAACCTTTGGAATAATCCTAAAAGTTCTAAAATTCTTTAAGCTACTCTCAAAATCATGAATTAGGCCAGCACAGGCCTGGGTCTGAAGCCTTAAAATGGCTGACTTTTAGTAACTTTGTATCTGGAATTCTGGCTTTCCAGAAGAGAGATGGGGTTGGAGGTGGGCAAGCCTGTGTGTGTGTGTGTGTGTGTGTGTGTGTGTGTGTGTGTGTGTGAGAGAGAGAGAGAGACAGAGACAGAGACAGAGACAGAGACAGAGACAGAGAGACAGACACTAAAACTAATGTATCTTTATCAATTGTATGCTCTCCTTAGGAAATGCTTATGTTCCTATTCACCTCCTCTGTTTCTATATGTAAGCTGCAGCAGTTAGCATCTTGACTCAGGGAAGCAATCCACCGCTGGACTTCATTCAATCTTTTTTTTCCCCCTTCAGCAAAACCAGACTGCTACTCCAGATGTGCTGCCTGTGACTGTCCACTGCCTGTGACTGTCCACTGCCTGTGACTGTCCACTGCCTGTGACTGTCCACTGCCTGTGACTGTCCACTGCCTGTGACCGTCCACTGCCTGTGAGGGACAGTGCTGCCAGCCAGTGCAGTCCAAACCATGCAGGAGATGGGCCTCTTGGCATGTCACAGAGGGTTACCTAGATTATATTTAGCTGAGGGGAGGAGACCCACCCACTGCAGGAGGCACTGTGCCCTAAGCAGAGGAATGTCTACAGCAGAGAGAGCAAGTTGAGCGCTGTGATGCATGAGCTGCCCGCTCTCTTCTTCCGACCGACGTCTCTACTGCAACAGGCCATAACCAGACCTGTGAGCTGAACCCTTCCTCCCACAACAGAAGAGAGTAAGATCAAGACAACAGCGGTTAATCTCAAAGATCTTAAGGGAAAAAAAAAATCAACTAATGGAGACAAGTGCATGCAAAATGCAAACGATTATGCTAATATAAAACACAGCTCTGAGGCTGGAGAGATGGCTCAGGCCTTAGCACAGGCTGCTCATCCAGAGGACCTGGGCTTGATTCCCTGCACCTACATGGTGGCCCACAACCTCTGTGACTACAGTCTCAATCCATCTGTCGCCCTCTTCTGACCTCCGCAGGGAATTCATGCGGTACACAGACACAAGCTGGGAAAAAAACACCCACACATATAAAAATAACAAAAGTAAATAAATCTTAAAGCAATACAAAGCAAAAAACAGACAAACAGGCCTATAACTCCAACTCTTCAGGAGTCTGAGAACAGAGGATAACCCAACTTTATTTTAGATAAACAAAATCCCAGCCACAGCTAGGTGTGCGTCCCAATAATATAAGCACATTCACAGCATCTACAATCCACAGTTTGATCCCCTGCACCACAAATAAACAGAAACCTTAAATACCTAGCAAATTAAAACCTGTTCTATTCCATTAATTGTAACTTAGACCCTACGAGATTGAATGATTTCACTGGATTTTTTTTTCACTTTATTTACATGCATGCCCACCAGGAAGGTGCTAAGGTTAAAGTTTCTCTGAACTTCAATCAGCTGTTGTTTTTTTTTTATTTCTTTTTTTTTATTTCACTAGATTTCTAACAAGATCCACAACCAGTGGAGTCATCCCTATGTAGTTTGTATAACATACTCTCAAACTAAGTTTCATTAATATAGTAAGGAATATATTTTTACATTCTTAGAAAATTCACCCAGTCCTATTGTAATGCACTAAAGCTAATATTCTAAATGTCCTACAATAAAAATCTGAATAACAAAGAATCTGGAGAAATAAAAATCACCAGACATATCTGTTGAATTCAAGGTAATTAGTCGTTCAAATATACAGACCAAGACCACCTATACACGGTCCTGTGAATTTTCTTACTGGCTTACTGATTTTACCGAGAGAGAACAAGTCATTCTTTTCAATGTCTTAAAACAGTTCTAAATGTCATGGAAAAAGTGGAGTAGCAGTTGGGAGCACTGGCTGCTCTTCTAGGAAAGCCACATGGTGGCTTGCAATGTCTGTAACTCTAGTCCCAGGGGATCCGGCACCTCTTCTGGCCTCCACAGGCACCAGGCTCATGTGTGGTACATAGATATAGCTGCAGGTAAAACATTTATATACATAAATGAATTTTTTTCAATTTAAGAAAGAGCAAAATAAGACAGTAACTATAAGATTTGTTTAAAGAGTACAGAGACATAGAGAAATTTAGAGTCCAGGCCCAGAACAGTGTAGGGGCATAAGTTTGATCCTTAGTACTACCAGGGTGCAGGGCACCCACATGAAACAAACCCCATCCTGGGAATTCAGTGACACTGAGTCACCCAAAGAACCCTAGCAAAGGAAAGGAACCAACCCGGAGAGCAAAGGTAAGAACAGTCATTTCAGAGGTCAGACATGCTAGGCACTGTTTACAAGGACTAAATTCTGCAGCATGTATTCATAATAGCAACAATCCGATGAGAAAGTTGAAACTACATAATGTCAGCAAACCTTCCCTGCAGCCCTGAAAAAGAAATAGAGCATTCTATAACCCCTGTCCTAACAGCGCTGTGGGAAAGTCAGCCTTAGGGGGCAAGGATGGGCTCTTGTGTTCAGCAAACTGACCACAGCTTTGCCGCCTGCTTCACAGTGCTCTGAAAATACACGTCTGTTGGGGGGGAAAAAATCCAAGTACAAAGGGAACACCTAACCATTCTTCCCACTTTACACATCTAGTCCAAGTTCTTTGCTTAGGTTTGAAGAAATCTTATACATATGCATGTGCGTGTGCGTGTGTATGTGTGTGCAGACGTGTGCCACTTAAAACCTCAAGTGAAAGCAAGCTGCACACACAGTTCTCCAGTGCTTTTCTCATCAACAGTGGACCTTGGCAGATTCTTCCACACATGCATCCCTGGATCCAGTCATCACTACATCAGCTGTGGATGTTACGTGCATGAAGGTACTTATTTAACCAAACCTCCACTGTAGCATTGCTTATTTCTAGGTGTCACTATTTTTCATCTCAAACAACATCATGACACATCATCATATTCAGAGATGTGTGTGCAAACACAATTCTGTGTGCGAGGTGAATTATTACAAGTAACGCCCGTTAGTAAAATGAAGCAAATGCAAAAGAGAAACCAGCACATCTGCAAAGGAAACAAGAAAATACCCATAAAGTAGATGCTCAGTAAATGAGAAGACACCAAACATGTTACAGAGTTAGGAGCAGAGTAACAAATGAGGAAAATGGAGACAGGAAAAAAGGAGGAGGGAACAAGGACGAGAGAAGGAAGAAAAGGAAACCTTACATGGCCCCAGGACAGAAGGAGAAAGACTGAGAGAATAAAAAATGGGATGAGAAACCCTGTCTTGAAAAACCAAAAAAAAAAAAAAAAAAAGAGAGAGAGAAAAAGAAAAAAAAACTACACAAATAAGGTTTAAAAAGATGAGGTAAGAGAAAAAAGACATTGTTTCTCTTGCATAACCCTAGGCACTCAAGAGATTTGAGACATGCACTATTTCATAGACAAACCTGAATACCACACAATTTAGATGAGTATTTGGGCCCTTATTTTAACATAGTAACCACAGGCCAATCCTACCAGACTATGGAAGCAGGGGAAGAGAATCCCCCAAAAGGGAGATTCCACAGTATACCTGGCTTCTTCTCTTTCGTTCCTGACCTTGACAGAGAAACGGTCACACTGTGTCATACAAACAAAGCATGTCTTTCCTTGGAAGATGCTGATTTTAAAAACAGAGATGTAGGCCCTAAGTCTTCCTTCCTTCTTGGAATTTCGTCGGCTAAACCAGGGCTATACTAATATGTCACCTAATGTAAAACACAGCCAAGAACTCACCTCTCCTGAAGTGTTAGGATGTGACTGCCACAACACAAACTGACTCATGTTTTGTCCATGAACGCGTTGGGGGTTTCTTTACATGAAGCCCATTTCAGAGTCCATAGGTAGCAGGGTTCTGCAAAACTGAAAACCTCAAACTTGTCAATGCACATATCTAGGTTACCATTTGGGTCTAATTCACTATGGACAGCAGCTACACCCTCCAAACACAGCTATGCAGTGTGGTGGACATGACTCTGAACATGGCTGAAGTGGTGTGGGAGTGTCTTCTATCTATCTGTTGCTTTCATTGGTTAATTAATAAAGAAAACTGCTTGGCCTGACAGGGCAGAATTTAGATAGGCGGAGTAAACAGAACAGGATGTTGAGTAGAAGGCAGTGAGGCAGACGCCATGATTCTTTGACTTGAGACAGATGTAGCCTAGAATCTTTTTCGGCAAGCCACCACCTTGTGGTGATACACACATTAATAGAAATGGGTTAATCAAAATATGAGAGTTAGCCAAGAAGAGGCTAGATATAATGGGCCAGGCAGTGTTTAAAAGAATACAATTTGTGTGTTGTTATTTTGGGTGCAGGAGCCGGGCGTGATGAAAAGCAGGCCTGCTCGCCTCCTCAGTTGAAGTGGCCAAGACTATACAAAAACAATAATATTGACCCAGAAGAGCTCAAACTTTAGATGCCTTTCTAACATAATTATATGTATTCTATCATGGTGGCAGAGTAACAACATATACAATGGGGTGAGTGGAAATTCCCAGTACCATCCAGGGACCGGGAAAAGATCCAAATGTGGACAAGCATAAAGTTTACTGCAAAAAGGCATTTACGTGTTTACTTTTAGAGTTTTCAACGGACTGGAAGTAAAGCTTAGGTTTAAAATCTAAAGATGCTAACTAGTTTCTTATGTAAAACACAACCATGCAAAGTAAATCCATGGTCTCCTACCCCATCCTATCCAATCTAATGATACATCTGGGGACCTCTCAAGATCTGCTTTCCACTGGATAGCCAATGCACAGCCACCTCACTGGGACTGCATGTAGGTGACCGGCGACTCTTGCCGAGATCTGATTACACAGCACAATGTGTCAACTGCACTGTATTCTATTTGATAGCCCAAAGTGGTTACAGAACTTGTTTTTGTGGGATGCATGCTAACTCATTACATTTAAGGGTGCTTTTAACAAAGGAAACACTTTAATCTTCAAGGGTTTTTCTTTTGGCGGGGAGGGGGGCAGGGGAAGAGCTGCCACAAGCTCTCCTTGTGTCTGTAATGGCTGCATGTGAAGCCCAACTAGCTTCAGAGTATTGTAACCCTCATTTGCCTTTCAAATGTTGGTTGCTAACGTAAGAAGTCTTGAAGAAAAAGAAAGCATTTATAACATCAACATGGTGCGACAGCAGCGGCTTATTTATTATTCGATAACCTCCCTGGGATCGCACCCCAGGATGTTCTTCCCAGAAAAGGAAGAACCATCTAAAGGTGGCCGCAGGAAGCCAGATAAACGCCTTATTCTCTCCACCAAGAGACTAGGACCCTTCTGTAGATTTCGCTAACTTTAAAAAACAAGCGCGCCCTGGTTTTCCTCTGTACCCGCATCGTAGGGCTGGGAGGGAGTCGCGCGTGCATTCAGAGGCTGGATGCGGACACCAGGGATGCGCTCGGGCGGTCGAGCAAGTCGCGCTTTGACTCGGGTACCAACCCTTCCCGACCGGCGTCTGCTAATGTCGCAGACTGAGTCGTGGGCAGCAAGTCTGGCTGAGCGCGCCTCAGCTGCCCCAGACGCCACGTCGCCAGCACCCGCTGAAGAAGACTTACTTCTTCAAGGTTCTCGGCTCGAAGCCGAGTCCGCTGGCCTCGCTCGCACTGCGATTTCTCGACTGCGCCGGACAGCCGCCCTAGGGCGCAGGCGCCGCCTCCGGCACCTCTGCATGTGACGTCACTTCCTGCACCTTCAGCCTCGCCGCGGGTCTTGGTCTCCCAGGTCTTTTATCTATAGACAGTCTTGGGAACCGAAACTCACCGCTCCAGTCCACGTTTGCGGGCAGTCTGAACGAAATCGCAAGATCCCTTGAGGCTTTCGGATGTCCCTACTGGGTGTCAGCCTCTGAGACTGCGTTCGCCGGCTGCGATGCTGCCCGGTTCACCTCTGAGGGTGTTGATGTTACATTGCCAAGTTAATTACTTAACCTCTGTGAACCTGACCCAACTGTAAAAACCACTCGTACCCACACAGCCTGTTGTTACTTGCGATAGTGCATAGAAATTTCCAGTGAAAGACCCCCAGTGCTGGGGAGAACCTCACTCAAGTCTAGGGATAACACAACCACCCCTCCCCCCAGTAACTCACAAGAGACCGTCCTTGATGCAATCACACGAGGCTTTAATGATGAGATGAGACGGGAACCAGTGCACTGGGTCCGAGACTCATAACCCATGCAGGGGAAGAGTTCCACCCGAGTGACCAGGAGAAGAAGTTTTTAAGGGAAAAAAAACCACAGCCCAGTAATTCAAAAGGGTCATAGAAAATTCCGACAATCCAGTGATGGTCACAAGGCGGCAACTCCCTGCCTCTCAGGACCACTCCCAAAGTCATAATCAGCTAGTTCTAAAACACAGTACAATGATAATCACAAGGGGGAGACTCCCTGTTTCTCAAGATTATTCTCAAGATTACAATCTAACTTTATCTTCAGCTAGTTCCTGAAACACAGTCACTGAACCTGCTAATTTTTGATTCTTCTCTTCCTGCTGGGGGGGGGGTCTGAATTTATCCAGGTCTTTCACCAGCATACTACAATGAACAATAACTAACTTTTTCCCCTAATGATACACTCTCTTGTTCTTGAAACACGCTTGGATGAAAGCCTGGAACTATTTTCAGTGGTTAGCTGATGATACAGGCTACCTTTGGAACTGGATATAACGTGTGTGTGTGTGTGTGCGTGTGTGTGTGTGTGTGTGTGTGTGTGTGTGTGTATGAACCAACTTGAATCCTAGAGTGGACACACTCATCAATAACAAGGTGTAAAACCTCATATTGACACAGAAATGAAGGGAACTCTGTTTTCGTTTTTAACTGGCTGAATAGGAACAAATTACTGACCAACGCAGTTCTATAAGGCAAGCAGACTCTAATGTACAGCCACTGACAGGGTTTGGTTTCATTTACCCTTTTGTATTTCAAAGAAACAGCTCAACTTGTACTTTAGAAAGATTACAAAGCTAGTCATCTTTCACAACACGACTAGTAGTGTTGAAATGAGGGTGATGGGTTAGACAACCAAGAACCCCCCACAGACCTGTAGAATAATACAAAGTGTTCCCGGTGTTAGAACAATGACTTTTGTTTTCTGAGATAAAATCTTCCTCTTTAACTCAGACTGGCCTCCTACCTGAACCTCCCTAGCTTTGGCCTACAGGCATATACAGCCATGTACAGCTTAGACCAAAGGATATTTGTAATACATGTTTGACTATAAGGATTGTGTAAGAAGAAGCAGCGAGAATGACCCCCAGACCGAGCCGCACAATGCTGCAGACCCCCCCCCCAGGCCCAAAAGAAAGGCTGAAGGGGATACTAAAGGAGATAAAGCCAAGGTGAAGGATGAGCCACAGAGAAGATTGGCAAGGTTGTCCACTAAACCTGCTTCTCCAAAGCCAGAGCCCAAGCCTAAAAAGGCCCCTGCAAAGAAGGGAGAGAAGGTACCCAAGGGGAAGAAGGGGAAGGCCGATGCTGGTAAGGATACCAATAATCCTGCAGAGAATGGAGACGCCAAAACAGACCAGGCACAAAAAGCTGAAGGTGCTGGAGACGCCAAGTGAAATGTGTGCGTTTTTGATAACTGTGTACTTCTGGTGACTGTACAGTTTGAAATACTATTTTTTATCAAGTTTTATAAAAATGCAGAATTTTGTGTGACTTTTTTTTTAAAGCTATGTTGTTAGCACACAGAACACTTCATTGTTTTGGGTGGGGAGGAACATGTGTCACTAGCAGTGTCTCCCAAGCTGGATGAATGATGGTTCATGATGGAAAACATCTTTCCCTGATAATTTTGAAAGACTCCTCTTGGCTCCCAGGAGAGGCGTCCTGGGGACATGTTGACATGTGTGGCCACCAAGGCACAGCATGCCTTGTGTGGGAAAACTCAGTTCATTTTTATATCCTCCTCCCCCTGTACCATCAACATAGACTTAACTCCCTTAAGACCAGAGACCTGTTGGAACCTGATTCCCAAAATTGGTTTTGCCAGTCTGTTGGGCAATCCGGACTTTGCAGTGATACCATTGGGTGTCCTCAAAAGCGCAGCGGTTCCTTTTATAGAAGATTGTGGATCTGCAGATGGATAATTCTGCCATTTTCATTTCATTTCCTGAAAGTCAGGGTCGGCTTGTGAAGAGTTGTAAAACAACATCCTCAACGTGAAATGTCAGCCCTCCCTCACTCTAAACTCCTCCCCCTTTCAGAGCATCCAATGGAGACTCACCTGGTTTTATAGTGGCTTTTTGATTTTGGTAGTAGATACAAGAAGTTCTTGTATACTGTTACTGATTGTCTGCCCCTGTTCTGCCTGAAAAACCATGATTGTTTATAGAAAGTGTCTTAAATAAAGCTGGATACAGTTTGGCTTGGAAAAAAAAGGATTGTGTAATTTGCCAGAAGGCACAAAGTTGGCCAGTAATAGTTCTAGAATGTTAGCCTCTTTAATTCCATTTATTTTCATTTACACAAACAGGAGGCACAGATGTTAGAGATATAAGGATGAATACAATGAACACTTGCCTTAGGGAAGTTTCCTGTCTGTTGCGGGAAATGGCCCTCTTAATGGAAAGGTAGTTCTGTGTTAGCATTATAGGCACATCTAGTTCCACCATTCAACTAAGAACGCTTCCTCCCTTTGGTTCCACAAAACCATAACTAGATTTTTAGAAATATAAGCTGATGACATTTCCATCAAATTTAAAATCATTAAAACCAGACTTTCAAAAGTTTCAAGCAAGCTTGGTGGTGGTAGTGCACGTCTTTAATCCCAGCACTCAGGGAGGCAGAGGCAGGCAGACCTATGTGAGTTCGAGGCCAGGCTGGTCTACAGAGTGGGTTCCAGAACAGTCAGGGCTACACAGAGAAATCCTGTCTCGAGAAACAACAAAACAAAAAGTTTCAGGCAATCAAGATAGATTTACACGGATCTAATAATCAGCTACAAGAGACTCAAAGACTCTGAACCATGGCCTTGGTGTTGAGATATGGTTCCTCTCTGACTCTTTATTTGCCTTTTCAACTTTTTCTTCCACTCTTTTCTGTAGTTACCTTAGCTTTCAAAAACAATAGGGCTGATTGGAAATAATCTTTACAACCAGGGAACCTCACAGGACAAATCACCCTCCATGTCCACAATGAGCCCAATTATCCAGGGTGACAAGGCTGTATCCCAGAGCAGGAATACCCATCTTATGTGTGGTGGTGGCACTATTAGGATGTGTGGCTTTATTTTGGAGTACATATAGCCTTGTAGGAAGTGTGTCACTGTGGAAGCAGGCTCTGAGGTCTCATATATGCTCAAGCCACACCCAGTGTCTCAGTTCACTTCCTGTTGCCTTTGGATCGAGATGTAAAGACTCCTCAGCTCCAGCACCATGTCTGCCTGCATTCTGCCTTGCTTCCCAACATGGCAATAATGGACTAAACCTCTAATCTGTAAGCGAGACCCCATGAAGCTTCCCTTTATAAGAGTTCCCTTTATAAGAGTTGCCATGGTCATGGTATCTCCTCACAGTAATAGAAACCCTAACTAACATTAGTTATGGGAACCAGATTGTCCCAACAAGTAATAACAACAACAGCAACTTTCCACAACCTCCTGGTGGGATCAGAATTGATATAATGATCAACCAAACCAGGAAGCCATGTCTTAAAGGTGCTACGCAGTTCTTGCAGTTAATGCTGAGTCAGGAAGCCTCCTCTCAAAGGAATCATGCCTCTGATTGCTTCTAGCAAACAGAGCCCACCAAAGAAAATGCTGCTACCAGGAAGCCATGCTTAATTCTGTTCTTTTGTGTCTAAAATTTCTTCCCAAGCTCTCTCAGATTTTATGTAGATGTAGCTGGCCTATGTTGGTGACATTTGTATACAGAGACTGCTTGTTCATTTCTGGCCTTTCAGACCCAAATAATGACACAGAAACTATATTGATTACAACACAGTTTGGCCAATAGCTTAGGTATATCCCTTGCTAGCTCTTATATCTTATATTAACCCATTTTTATTCATCTGTGTATCTCCATGAGGCTGTGTCTTCCTGGCAAGTTTCTGGGCATCCTTCTCCTTCGGCAGCTACATGGCATCTCTATGATTTTTCCCTTCTTTCTCCCTATATCTCTGTTCAGATTTCTTGCCTGGCTTTACTCTGCTAAGTCATTGGCCAAAACAGCTTTATTCATCAGCCAATAAAAGCAACACATATACAGAAGGACATCCCACATCATAGATCATAACCAACTTCTTCCTTCATTTCTCTTTTGTAGAAAGGTCTTGTTAGTCCCTGGAAGGTGAACTTGTGCTCACAAAACCCATTTATCTATTCTTCCCAGTACCCACACTGATGACTCTCCCTTTTCTGACCTTCCATGCTATTCATTGCTTTGCTTGGCTTATTGGAATAGGTGGCCAGTTCTAATGTTGGGGACTGTGAACCAGGCCTTTTGGCCTAAACCCTGGGAACAGTGTTTCTTATCATTGTTCATTTTAATAAGGACATTTGGTCTTGAAGATGTTATGGTTCCTAGCATCTTTTCCTGTGTGATTGTCACACTTGAGCAAGAAAAAAAAACAATAACCTATTTTCTTTTTTATAATAAGAAATTTAAATAAGCTCAAATTATTCTCTTTTCATATGCACAGAGCCAAATCTTGTTCTCTGTCTTCTATGACAGCTGATCTTCTATGTCAACTTGATTAGGCTACAAAAGCCAGGGTTTTTTTTGGTGAAACTGTAATTTTAGGTGTTTCTGTAAACTAATTCTTTAGATAGAAATAACATTTCCATCAGCTGATTTTTTTTTTAGTTTTTTAGTTTATTTTTATGTGTGTGGGTGTTTTGGCCTGCATGTATATCTACGAACCACATGCAAGCCTGATGCCTACAGAGGCCAGAAGAAGGCTTTGGATTCCTTGAGATTAGAGTTACAGACGATTGAGTGTTACCATGTAGGTGCTGTGAAGGAGCAGCTAGCGCTCTTAACTGATGAGCCATCTCTCTAGCCCCAATTAGCTGGTTTTGAATACAGTACATGATGCTCCATAGCATGGGTGGGCCTTGTCCAAGTGACTGGAGGTGTTTAGAGGAGAGTTGAGGGAGGAGTCCTAAGGAAGTGGGAATTCTGCCTCCAAATATCCTTCCATCTTTGGACCTGAGCTAGAACCAGCTCTCATGGGACTCCAAACTGC